GTCCTTCTCAATGGACATATACTTATCCAAAAAAAAAAACATAAATAATGCAGTACATAATATGGCCACAGGGAAAAAAGTAGGGAAATTGACACAAATAGTCCATAAATTTTGGCTCAATGTGTAATATGGTCTCTGAACTTTTAATTTGTTCGATATAGTCCATGAACTTTAACCTAATGTGCCATGTGATCCCTGAACTTTTAATTTGTTTAATGTCATCCCTGAACTTTTGGTGCATATTCAATTTAATCTCTAAACTATATAAAAATATTCAATATAATTCTTCAATTAATTCAAGTTCAAGGATTACATTGAATATTTTCTTATAGTTTAGGGACTATAATGAATATGTACCAAAAGTTCAGGGATCACATTGAATAAATTAAAAGTTCAAGGATCACATTGAACATTAAAATAAAATTCAAGGATTGTATCGAACAAATTAAAAGTGCAGGGGCTAAATTGCACATTTAGCCAAATTTCAAAGATTATTTATGTCATTATCCCAAAAAAGTATATATCAAATTGGATACAGTGATTTGAAATGTTGTGTGGCCTTTGCTAGTCCCGAAAAGGGTAAAGCAGAATAATTAGTTGATTCTACTTGGGGGAGGTGCGAACTTGGTTCTGCAAGAAGACATTACTTGCTCTGCAGCAAATGTTCAGTCTTGTACTATGTATGGCGAAAGCATTATTTAGTAATCATGTGTTGTAATTATAATGAGTTAATGGCTCAATATGTTTCTTATCATTTTTCTAGTTTTCTTTGTCATTAATAGACATGAATATGTCTTTTCAGATCATTTTCTGTAACAGTTTTTTTTGTCTTTAATAGACAGGAATATGTCTCTTTTGATCACGTCCTTTCAATCTCTATAAATTGAAATAAACTATTCTTCATTTAAGAAGTAGAGATGAAAACACAACATTTTCAGTGCCTCTTCTCTTCAATTTTCTCTTTGGTTAAATCTTTGAGTGCGCTAGTTCAAGGACAAGTTCCATTGAGTCCTGCATCTATAATGCTAGTACAAATAGATTCGAGGTGTTGTATATTGAGAGACATAGTTCGTAAATTTGCAAAGTACTGTTGGCAAGAACTAATTGACTTAAGGAGATTTGATAATCCATACCTCACATCCTATCTAATTTTGTTACAATTTTATAGCAATTTTATAAGTTTATATCTGGTTTGTAATGCAGTCTTCTTTACATGTTAAGAAGATTCATTCAATAAATTTATTCATTGATTTGGTCAATTTTTAAAATTGTTATGACTTTCTTAGAGTTATTATTTCAATTTAATTTTTCCAGTTACAACAAGCAATATTGTATTACGTTTCCTACAACATCTTGTACTTCTTAAATCATGGATTAAATATATTTCTTCAATTAGAGATAATCAATCGCTGTCAATATGATCTAGCAAACAAAATCGCTAACAAAATTTTTAATATATGAAAATCGAAAGAATATAAACTGATTTGGATCTTTCTTGCGACCATACTTCAGCTTTATAAAGATCTACTCTAAATTTGATGTTAGATAATCAGGAAAAGCATATAAAAACTGAGACATCCAAATTCATGAGAGGGTCATAAAAATACATCAATATCTTCAATTCTTGACTCAATATGTACACTTACAGTTCAGAGTCATTCGGTGCATCTAGGCTGAGGACGCATGAGCCTTTCCTTTTGGGGTTACTGGTTCAAACCATAGAAACACTTATGCTTCTAGCGTCTCTAGAACTTCTATCATGTGTTATTTTCTCTTTCCTATATGGGGTTTTGCTTCTTTTTGGGGGGCTTTCAGGAAGTTAGGCTGGAGTTTCCAAAATATTTGTCTCACTGCTCAAAAACGGACACTAAGATCAACAAAAGAGTCCTAATACAGTTTGACCTCTGAACTTGCCTACGACTCTTCTCCAACAGATGACATCTTGCCACCCTCACTACACAAACACTCCTCTTGGAAATACTCAATCCCTCTAGCTTGTTGTCTATGAGAACAAAGAATCTACTTTCACAAGCTATACGTTAGGTGTCACAGTAATTATTGTGTCAACGTCGTGAGTCGTATCAAGACGTGACAGCCAATGACAGCTTAACGCACACATATGTATATAATGGCATCGATATTTAAAATCACAAAAACTTATTGAAAGGAGAATTAGTAATCGCATACCGCTTCAAGAGACATGATGCGAGCGACGCTTATCCACCACTTTCCAAATCGATGGTTGTCACGCATGCATTGGATGCTTAATTTGATGAATGCCGTCCAGTTAAATTTGATTCTCCGTTATCAACACCTAATTATTATATTGATGTTGTAATCTGTCTTTCCTAGATATAGGCTTTTTCCACGTTTGGTTTGAAATAGTTTAAACGAAGTAGGAGAGTTGGGTGCTATCATAGTCTCCGTAGTGGCAAGACACTTTTGGCAAGAACGTGAAAGCAAGATTCCAAAGTGTTGTTATTGGCAGCTAGATTAAGAGAGGAGCAAGATCATCCCCAACCAGATAAAACCTGCGACTATTATTTTAGGATTAAATTCTGCTCTATCTTCTCAGATGGACCTTGTTGTTATTAGATGGTATGATAAGTTTGTGACCCATTTTTCACTAGAGAGTGGTCCATTGGTTCCTTATTTGTGTCCACTGATATCTTGCTCACAACATTAGTCATTAGTGCACTCACTTTGTGCCATCATTTGCCCTTTTTGTTGTCATCTTCCTTTGGGTGGGCCTGTTTGGCATGATAAGAACTGGTCAATTTTTCTGTTCACATCTTCAAATAAAGAATTAAAACACCTCTCAAGACACCTTTAGTCACACGTTGAAAATTGCTTTCATGTGAAAACTGTTTGCCACTTTTTTGGACCTGCCAAACCACAAAAACAAGACAAAATGTGCTTCTTAACTTTAAAACAATACAACCACAAATATTTCCAAACTTTTACTCATGTTGAAAGTTTTTATCTTCGAGAACCACGTGTTTTCGAACAAATAGAATAATATACATAATAGTCTATTCTCATTATTGATAAACGAAAATCAAAGATATTATCACGAACTAAATGGATCTCTGTATATGTCACTCACAAGTTATACGATAGTTTATTTGTTACACCTCGAAAAACAGCGAGATTTATGTTAGATTTCTTTTGCATCTTTTTCTCGATTGAGGTCCATCTAGTTTAAATATAGAACATCGGAATGAGCCATCCTTTTTTTTTTTTTTCCATTTTTGGGTCCATAACCTTGTATTGTAATCACTCCTTTTTATCTCACTGAACTTTCGATTCACTCGAGAAGAAAAGAAGTGCAGAGGAAATTATATTCAGCACCTGCACATCTTTCTGCTACCGAACGATTAGTTGATGGAAACCAAATTGCACAAACATATTCAAGTCAAATTCGAGTAGACACTTTTGAGTCGGGAACACAAATCTGGCATCTACAATTTCCCGGTCAGCTTGTCGGGAATATAATATACCGTGTTCACACCCAGGATTCGATTTTAGTATCTCATGTCTGATTCGTGTTCACACTTGTTTTGCAACTTGGATGAACCCTAGCTTTGCAAGAAAATCCCTAAATTTTTACTGGGAGATAGTTCTGCGATTATCATATGTTTCCACTAAGTTAGTATTGAGATGATGTGTTAAATAAAAACACGTCATCTTAGATATAATCGAATGTCTCGCTTTTTTTCTGGGTTTGAAGATAAATTCATCATATTAAAGTTAGACAAATGTTGTTATCCATTATTGCCTATTTCCTCAGGGTAATCAAGTTGTGTATATAAACCGTCGAATGATTTTCAATTTTATGGATGCCACTCTATCCTTTTAGCTGTCTGATTTGTTAGTTCCATCAAAGACATAGAAAGGACGTTCAGCACTTCTTTGCCATAGACGAGCGTAGACATGTGCAAATATTTATAGCAACCCGCTTTTTCGGTTCCTTGGAAAACTCAAATCAAAACAATTATGTAGACCCCATAGTGGACATCTCTTTTTAAAATGTGGCGATTCTCAACAAGTTTTATCGTACACGCATCTCACAGAACAATGACAGATCCACAGGATGGTGGTGAGTGCAAATCACTAAGCCACTGGAACTTTTGATATAACAACAAATGAGCCCGAAGAGTGCCATCGCTAGAATGAAACTCAAAAGAATTTACAGGGGCCGGCACAAGCAGTTGAGCATGTGGTTTATAACCTTACATACAAGGTTAACAAATAGCTACGCAGAGGCACATTACACTACTTGTATGTGCCGAACTTTTATTAAAAATGGGAGCATAAGGGTCGGTTAGCGCCTAACCTTGAGATGTAAATCATCCAAGGCACATTAGCATGGCCTGCTTCTCTTGTATGAATTGGGTGTTACCCCAAACCCGTCTTAAGAGGATAGATGGAGCGATTAAGGTGGGTTACCCTTTTGTTGAATCATCCAAGGCACATTAGAGAGAACTGTCTCACATCCCTAAGTAGTCTCTACCTTACCTACCCACTTGTGTCAGTTTTAGCTACAGGTACCCTTTTATTGAAGGTCATTCGAGCTTTTGCTAGAAGTATGACTTGCGTTACTTCAACACCTTAGCGCTTGGTACTTGAACAATGGCTTGAGACGTTTCCTCTACCCGTTCCCACCCTAAAAAAGTAGGAGCACCTTCCATCCTTGAACTGATCACCTTTCACATAATCTAGGCTCTTCTGTCCCTCGAGACCGAGGTAGCACGGGAATAATCATCTGATGTCCATCTACTAGGCATTTTGGCCTAAAGAATTTCTGTCGCAAATTTCTTGTCTATAACCGCCTCAATCTACGTAGCCCCTTTGCCTAAATCCGAGGTCCGTCTCCATCATAAAGAGCGGGTGGGATCACAATTAATCTCTGAATTATAATGGAGCGACATCTTAAGCTCATTTTATATGCATCTAAATTGGATCTTTAATCGTGACCAAATCAATGCAATGAGAAGTAGTACAGTTTGACACGAAACCCTTCGCACCAAGCTTTGCATCAAGATTTATTTGATAATTAATAAACATATTGCACTGGATACACTTACACACAGTTGATAAGAATGAGTAAGGTTAGTATGAAAAAGTTCCTCAGGACCTTCTACAACCAGCGTGTAATATCAACGCAGAGAATTATCGACAATGTGATCTAGAATGTGCACAATTATTCCTCGACATGCATGTACTGAGCCAGTTTATTCCTTAATGCAGTCCCAACCTGCCGAAAGACTTGACATGTAAATGGTCATTTTCACTAGAATTTGGTTTGAACTGCGTGTGAGAAGTTCTAATGTATTGTTATACTGATCATACCTTAGCTCCATCGCAATCTGTGCTGCTTCATTTACTTCAGAGCGTGAATGACTTGAATGCAAATGGTGGTACAAGTGTAAGTCACACAGATCGGCGAAAGCGTATGGAACTTCCCTACTTGTATCTTCTCCGGAACGACTTGCATTCGACGCCTATGATGCGAATCATAAACTGATATTGTTGTCTTTCGTTGGAGACATAAACAGGATGTTAGGGAAGAGTTACTACATAACAGAAGAGAGAGTACCTTTTTATTGAGATCTCCTATTTCTTCGTTCAAAACCTGATACTGTGGTGGGGCAAAATTCAGAAATGTTAGGGCAGAGTTACTACATAAGAAAAGAAAAATTACATAAAGTAAGACAAAAGTATTTAACACAAAGTTCAAACTAAAACATTAGCATCATTTATCAACTACATCTGACTTAAAGGCTTTTAACAAATTATGAACAAACAGTGCTAAGAAGCTGTACTTTGGCACTGAACGAGGCTTAACTCAATTTAATTTCTTACATAAGAATTAAAGAAAGACCGTATTCATGTTAAATCATAAATTCCACGTGCTTGAGCTAGTCTATACAGAAAAAGATATGGTCAAGGAGGGCGAAGAAGCGGAACAAATATTTAATCTAATGTGTAAGAGGAAGAATTCAAAAAATTTTGGTGTACGAAAAATTACGAGGATCTGGCAAGTAGAAGGAAGAATTCAAGTCGGTGAGGAAAGGAATACGAGATTTAATTGTGGGGGACGCATCTTAGATACCTCATTCATATGTTATCGTTGAATAACAGTATATATTTCCATCTGAAATAGATGAACTTCTTGGACATTAATTAGGAATAAGTAATGAGAGGACAAATGTTTCTTTTGTGCAAAAATTGAATGAATGATCAAGGCGGGATCACAATAATCGGTTCATGTAATGAAAACAAAACAAGAAATACTGAACACGCTAGCTTATGACGAAATTTCGACATATGTGTACATACCTTCCTCATTCGGATAGCCTTCAAGCTCCTCTCCAATTGCTTTTCCAGATTTTGCAAGTTTTCAAAGCTTAATGAGGACAGGTCTTTGCCCATCAGATGTCTGCACATTTATATAACAAGGATTTGTCTTTGTGCCTACATATTTCTCACGTCCTTTAAATTTGATTTGGGACTCTACAGCAATATCTTTGCAGGTATATATTAACCGAAGTCGGGAAAAGCACAGGAAATTCAGGCAATCAATCTAAGAGCCAAGAGGACGGTTTACTTATGTGTGTTGCTGCTAAACAACTTATCACTTCTCTGGTTAAGTATAACTCGAGTGGTGTTATAATGTGAGGAAGTTCACAATTTATCAGACCTAGTTTCAAACCAAAACCAAGTCCATTTCATCTAATGAAAACTGAGTTGTAGGTTGAAATTTGGTATCACCTGCGGTTATCCTGCATGTCGAGCAGTTGCTGCTTTAAATCTGCGACCTCCCTTTGCCGAAGCTAGCATTATGATCAGAAACTGCTAAGTCAAGCCTCCATATTGAAGTATTAAACCAAGCAATCATCCTTCTTAAAAGATCTGGGTAACTATACATTTACAACATATGTGAGTATATATAATTCTGGGGAGCATTGGTTAATTGAGTTTTATAACCGGTTCGATCTGGGTCCTCGCACACACGCTTTTTGTGCAAGGAAGAGGGCATGAGTACGTTTTTCATGGCTAGATCACATAGACTTCACAGGTTCAACTTAATAACTTTTCAAAGGGAACCTTAAGAGAACAAGGATGAACCATGGCTCCGGAAAATAGAGAAGGAATGTAGCCATGATACACATAATTACCTGGAGTTCTTCGACGGGATTCTTCTCTCCGTGATGATCTTGTTTGGATTTTGCGTAACGGTCGATTGTGGACCTCATGCTGATTCGGTTGGATATAAATTGAAAGACACATTTTAGCAGATATGAAATGATTTGCGATCCTCACAACAGAATAGGGCTCCACAGATAATTGAAGAACTGCTAAAAGAAATGACGCCTTGCGACTAGAGAGAGAGAGAGAGAGAGAGAGAGAGAGAGACCTAGAGCTGGCGAATTCATGGAGCTTGCCGGTGCAAGAGAAGACGACGACCCCGACCTCAGCGTCACAAAGAATGGAGAGCTCCTTGGCCTTCTTGAGCAGCCCATTTCTTCTCTTTGAGAAGGTCACTTGCCTGCTCGCCGAGCTGTCTATCTTTTGGATCACAATCTTTCCTCTCCCCATATCGATCTGCACACTCTCTCTAGCTAGTCTCTACTAAGTTTTCTCTCCCTTGTTTGAGTGATCATATATCAACGCAGTAGCACACCAGAACGAGCCTAGCAGTCAGCAGATCCGCGGATCTGCTCCAGTATATTTCTCAGAGATCTCAGGCAAATCACCTCCGACGAAAGAAAAAGAATCACCTGCAGCTTGCTGATGAGCAACCAAGAGAGCAAGGTATCAAAGGGGTTCACTCCAAATGCTTTTGATCTGATGAACCGATTGACCTTTAGAGATCAGAGAGAAGGAAAACTCAGATTTCAGATAAGATAAAAAGCCGTCTCTTGTACAGCTTTTTAATTCATGTATACCTTGAAAAATGGTGCCAAAACCTCGTAAGAAGGAATCTATTATATTATAGAATAGCTATTCGTCATTATTTTGAATTTATTAGATTTATTATGACTGTTGTGATGTCTCGCTATTATTGCTCGACAAATCTAATTTAATTGAATTATATAAAAGGCTAATCACAGATTTTAATAAAATGTATGAAAATGACTTAATAGGTACAGATCACGACAAGAAACAATTATGAAATCCATCTCTAGCATCAAATAACAATCAATTCATTTCACAAATAGTAAACTAATTTTATATACCGAGTTTTAACCAAGAGAATGCATCGAATGATAACAAAGATAAGTGCACCCTTTCCATGAAAAGATTTATCCACCGGAGCCCTTGTTGTTGGCTTCAGAAACCACAAAATAACAAAGCATATTGCATCATGTAATTGGGCGTCTAAATCAAATTAATAGCGACTTACAAAAGTGGCCTTATAAAACTATAGTCTAGGAAAGAGACTTCTAATGAAAAAATGTGCATGCATGTTGTATCACCACTTGCTTGTGAGCACCAAATTAAAGTTTACACGACAGAACCAATAACATCATTAAGGTTTTGCTTGTTCATATAGATATCATGGGCCACTCATCCGCCATCACTATCTTTCCGATCCGCATGCCTACAGAACCTTCAGCAATCGTTCAAGGAGGACAACATGATCGCTACGATTCTCAACGGAATTCAAGTCGCGTCAATACAAGGTTCGTGTAAAATAGGAAATCGAGTGTGAACGCGACATATAATATTTCGTCAATCATGCATTAATCGATGAAAATAGTGGGTCCGCGATGACGGAATTCCAATCCCGCTGCTGTACCAACGTGAATGCGAATTCTGTAATGGGAGGCTAACCCCATGTCCTTTTCATTCGTTCATCTTACTTGTCGGTTCCCTATTTTGCGCGTGCTTAATTAGTCTCAATTAGGGACATAATTGACTTCAACTTTTCTGTGGGCTTAATTGTCCGCGTACATCAATTAGGCCCACATCGATGACAGAAATTGGGCCGTGATGTAACAGCCTGGCCCATATTATGCAGGCCCATTAGCGCATTGCGAAAAATAGGAAAATCGACCAATCTGATTGGCGGTCGCACAGGATTCACGTGGTCCCTAGGGCAGGCAATCGAAGCCGTCCTAGGAAAAGATCTGATTAAAGTAAATGGTTAATATCACGAAAAACCCCAAACTGGTTGTGATAATTTTATCATAAATTAATTTTTTTACTATCAAAAATCTTAAATTGATATACCTGTGACAATTTTACCCTACGTTAGTTTCCGTTAAATTTTACTGTTAAATTACTTTGTTAAATGACACACAATAATTGACGGATATATATTTTACCATCCATTTATCACAAGTGTGTCAGTTTGTGATGTTTTTTTGCATTAATTCAATTTAACTGAAATTAGCGAAGGATGAATGTATTATACATGTACTAGTTTAAGATTTTTTGTAATTAAAAAAATTAATTTATGATAAAATTATTATAAATATATTAATTTTAAAATTTTAATAATTAAAAAATTAATTTAAAATAAATTTATTATGAATATATTAATTTGAGATTTTTCGTAATATCAACTTAAACCAAAATGCGGCTGCCAGCTGTCTGTATGCCGCTCTGACATTTTCTTCTCTCTCTCCCGGGGGGCTCGCTTTCTCCACACGACTACTACTCTTCGCCATTTTCCATGGAAGCAGAGCAGAGCAGGCGGCGATCCAGTCGCTCCTCCCTTCCGCGTCGGAGGCGGGAGGTGGGTTCCGGCGGCCCGAAGAGATTGCTGAAGCGGCCCTCTGCTCGCCGGCGGCGAGGAGCCGCATGGACCTGACCGTCTTGTCTCCGCGCGGTCGCTCGTCGACGGTTGGCTTGGCCCAAGGATGTGTTCCTGGTCATCATCTTCTTTGTTTTCTTTCTTCGTGAAGATGGGTTACGGAGGAAATGGGTCGCTGAAGAGCATGAGAAGATCGGAGCTTGATGAGCTGAATGGAAGGGTCCGAGTTTCGGGTCTGAAAATGGTGTCCGGTGGGTGGAGCGAATGGGCAAGTGGGTCTCCCCTGCTCCAAGCCTCCCGAGGTGTCCTCCGATGCTCACGTCTGCTGTGACGAATGGGCTCTCCCTCCATGTTCGTTGACCAACTTGCCAAATCGAGAATTCCTGAAATTGTCTGGAATGGACAGAAAAAGCTCTGGACTTTCCGTCCTATGGGCACTGACGTAGCTTCTCCATTTCGGTCCCTATCTCTCGTTTTTTTTTTTTTTTTGGGCTCCGCCATCGGATCGAGGTCAGTTCTTTGGGACTTTTGCTGGTGATTCTCAAGTGAGATGAGTATGCTGTTCGCAGTTACGGAGCAGTCGAAACGGAGGAGTGATTCTCATCTCTTGTTCGTGATTTCCTTTGGTCTGTCGTTTGATTCGGCAACGCCCGTGCTAATTCGAGCGCGTCTATCTGGTTATAGATGGGTTTGAGGCACCATATGAGTCGATGAACTAAGCTCCAGTTCTTAGTCTTTGTTGTAGCTGAACTCGTCTTTTTTTTTTTTCTGTTCGACATCGTACTTTATCAGGGTGCTTCTGCTGATTGCGTCTCTCGTCCCACACTCTTCCTCTGTCTTCTCTTGCTTTGGATCAGTTTTGAGCTTGCCCGAGAATTGTTGGCCTTGTTTGAGAGCTTCGAGGACTGTCAAAAAAGAGGCTTGATTCTGAGTAGCCGTATCATGCTCCTTGGTCGATCTCTGTCCTTATGCTTCATGAGGAAGCAAATGTTGGAACACAGACCGCAAATTGCAATTCTCAAGTTGAAATATTTATCCAGGAATTATAATATCTACTTGTTTCCGTAATCTAATCCCGTTTCCATATTTTGGGGCCACTTTGCTTAGATAATGAATAACAATTCTTCTTTTAGCCGTTACTCCAAGTTTGTTCTGCATTTGCGTCCTCTGTGATGTTCTTTCCCATGTTATGGAGGGGGAGCTAACACGGTGTTTCGGCCACCGCAATTAGATCAAAATCCCAACCTCATTCAGTAGGATAAGGCTTGGTCACTAATGTTGTTATGGTCAGGTTGAACTGCTGGGAGGCTGTCTTGGTGGAGATGGGCAAAACTGATGCATCCGTGATAGAGCAGAGCCTTTTGGCCTACTCAATTGAAATGTAAGTATGTAGATATGTCAGTTCTTGTCGGACGTATTGATAAAATCACTCCAAGCTGTTTTTCATTCATTCAACGATAGTTACAATACTAGGCTAAAGTTAGAACAAGACCAGTTCATCCTTGAAATTTAGTGATGGATGAAAAGATTACTGTCCTCTTCCATTCTTGACTGTCATATTCAAATTCTTAATGTTGCCAACTAGCAGCATGCCCTTGGGACCTTCATCACTTCAACATGAATTCCATTCTAGGCTCCCATCATTATCCTATATTTTGTCTCTTTGCCAGGTCTGATAATATCTAAAACCAATGTATGTGTTTCTCTGTTTGCTGTAGGGTCCATCTTTTTGTGCACCATAGGAAGACTCACTAGAATAGTTCCAGCAATTTCCAGGCTAGACATTGCTCCATGTGACACTTATTTTGCGGTTGCACATTGCCATTATGTAATTGTTATGGGAGCCGTTTTTGCTTTATTTGCAGTATTTCGCTATTGGGTGGGTAAAATCTCTGGTCGGCCATACCCTGAAACTTTAGGCCAATTCCATTTTTGGATCATTTTTTTCAGTGGTGACCATCCTCTAGATGTAGCACTTATGTATCTCCTCATTCTTAGTTCTGAATTGGGGGATGCATCAACATGAGCAATGACTTATAAAATTGTGCTTTAAATCCCCTATATTTGCCTTTTGTGGATAAACTTGTTTCTTGCAATTATTATTCTCTAATTGTCTGATGATGTGCTGATGGTTGCCTTATGCACCCTCACATGGAGTCTGCTGTTTGTTCCTGGAGACAAGGTACTTGCTTTAGTAATGCTTTAGAAATAGTTGAACTCTTAATGCACTTTATTATTTTTTACCGTTGTTTCCTATAGCAGCTTTGATAGGATTTTCCAACTGTATTTTGATTTGCAATTTATTGTGGCACGGTGGTTTACATTTCTTCACTGAAAAGATCTCCTGAATTTATAATGGATTTTCACTGCGGTTTCCTTTTATTGGCTTGTTTTACTTACTTTGTCAAATTAGTGAACCACTAACTCTATGCGAATGTATGCACCTTCTTTGGTTACAGAGGAAGTTTCTTCTCCTTATTTAAAAAGGGCAGCACATTGGTGAAGCTCCCACTATGCACGGTGTCTGGGAATGGTCAGACCACTTTGGGTCTAACATGCATAGCCTTACCTTGCAATTTTTGCAAGAGGCTGTTTCTGTGACTTGAACCCATGACCTCCAGTCACACGGTGACAACTTTATTGTTTGCACCAAGGCTCTGCATCATTTCTCATAAATCAATTTTTTCTTCTGTATTCAAATGTATCAAAAAAATAGGTAGAATAGCAGCATAATCTATCAGAAACATCCATTCATAGATCCCGACAAGCTTGAAATAAGTAGGAAATCAATGAAAAAGTTGCTTCCTTTATTTCGCAAATATAATCATACATAGCAGTGATATCCATTCAGAGCAATCAGAAATAACGGGACATCATAGAATTACACCATGCCTCAAGGTACATCCACTAATATCTTTCAGAGTCAAATACTATATCTCACTCACGGAAGCTTGACTGTAGTTTCTGCTCTGCTAACTGATGGTAATGAATGTCTCTCTAGCACCCTTAGCCACAAAATTGTGCTACTGTAGTTGCGATCTGATTTCAAAAGTAAATAGTAAGAGATCATATTTATGGAATGCTGTGACTATGAAGATTAAAGTTGCACTTTTGGAATTCTAGGTTACCCCAATTTTGTCACTTTTGCTGTATATTCAGGCCTCGGTTGGCTTAACTGGAGATTCATGGGTGAATGTGAGCCATACACATCACATGTATTGTATGATATGGGGCAACTGTTTGCTTTAGTCACATCACTTGCCCCGTAAACCTGACACCAAAGCATCATTTTATTTAGCCAAAATATAGTTTAAATAATGCATAGTCCAACTTATTTTACACTGACTCCTACTGTGCTTCAACTCAGAGATTGAGATATCCAGACAGATGGCTTGATCTGGCTAAGTTGGTTGTGACTCCCATAGGTTTTATTTGGCTGTAACTCTCATAGGGTATGGATGAAATTAGGTGTTCATAACAATTTTTTTTTATGGAAAAGATTGTAGTGTCTTATGTTAGAATTTCCCTTCATGGAATTATTTTATAAGGTAGAAAAGTTCTTTGCTGTCTAATTAGTACCTTGTATTGTAGTTCTGTGTTTTCATGGCCAGTGAGATCCACCTTCTTGTACAGCTCTCTATTTTCCTGATGCATGAGAGCTCCCTGAAATAAATTGAATTAGTGCTACTTGATGTGAAATCGGTGGAAAAGAGTTTTTGGGTAGGAGATTTTAAACTTCTGTGAAAACCTTTCTGTTAAGTTCTCTTATTTCTTCGATCAGAATTTGATCCTGCATGGCAAAACAATACAGCGATGTAAGTACGTATGCATGTGGTGCAGAATTCAATGGACTTCGAGCAAATATGGGGTTGAGCAGGGATGCACAAAAAGGAAATTGGTCACACCTTTTTCGTACGAATACCCTTCAAGCTCATTTCCAATCTGTTTTCCAAATTCTGCAGTTCTTTCACATTGAGACCAGATAGTTCTTGTCCCATGAATTGCCTGCATGTATGGAATGAAGAAAAGAAGTCCACATTGTTGACTTTTGGTTTGATTTATTTTCAGACTCGGATTGATTGAAGTACCCATGAACTTATCCAATAATTACCATAAGTTTTGTCTTTGAAATCCTGAGTTGGGCATGATCTACTTAGCAATCTGTTATATCTCAGTGCACATTTTGCATCCTGTGATATTGGTGCAAGTTTTCGACCAAAAAAAAAAAAGATATTGGTGCAAGTGACGACTTGTTTTTTTCATGTCTTCATTTCAGTAAGAGATGAATTCTCAGGGAAGGGGCATTATCCATCTATAGTTTGCACTCTTTCATTTCAATTGTCAACCTACGTCCATTCTTCTTAGCACAGTCAAAAATTGGTCACATAAGTCTATGCCAACCTCCTGTTATTCTAGCAAGACCACTAGATGAAACACTTTGGTCGCTGCTCTTAATTCTGTTTTCTTAAGCATAAGAGACGTGCCACTTCAAAAGTTTTCCCGGGCATATGAGATGTTATACCTGTGACATTCTTGCAAATGCTGCAGTTGTTGCTTCAGGCATGCTAACTCCATTTGCCAGAACTAGTGAAAAAAAAAGGAGATCATTCTCCTTAGTGTGATAGAAATGATAACGGGAGCATCTAGATTTAATCACGCAAAAATTCGTCCCTGTCGTATGAATAGAACCCTTAAATCGTAGAACCCTTACTAATGCATTGAGGACAGATGACTCTGAACGTAACTAGCACAATGATGTAGAGTAACTCATATAAGAAAAGGCAACACATGAATGTGACGTGATGATGAGTTGCTAGAAGATCGAAACGTATCAGCTAGATGGAGAAGTATCTCTTCTGATAAAAGAAAGCTAACAAGAATAACTTGAGTGTTACCTTGACTTCTGAAGCTGGATTGAGAAGTTGATATTGTTCCTCTTTTAGCTTTTTGTAACGTTCAACTACAGAAGTCACGCTGTCAAGAACCCAAAAAACAGTAAAGCAACATAAGACTCACTGAAAATTATGATGCGTCGTTATATTATTGCTACGGCTACATACAAACCAAAAGAATGCAACATTATAGAGCTGAAGTATATCTGGAGTGTTATGTGGCCTACCAAAAGCTTCTGCCAAGATTTGGACATTTATTGGAATTCCTAGTTTCTTGTCAAAATCCATATTTCTCATCTGTTCATCTACTTAATCTATGTTTTTGTCCACAGCTATTAGCAGTGATATCTTCTGCAGCTTTACCTTTGCCTTTGGCTAGGTTCATGGGAGAGTTTGAAAGATGAATGCAACGTCAAAGTAAACATTGGGTCATGCCGCAGAACATTTTCGACTGCCTAAGTGTCCTAATGAAGAACCAACATGGTCAAACTTTGCTGTCATATTCAATTCATAAAAAAAAAAAAAATTGGCTTGACGTGTTACGACAATCACTAATTACGGATTAACTCAGTTTAGCCGGGCTAGCATAATGGAAATATGTCGGTCGCTCAAGTCCTGGTACCCACATGGCATCCCATTTATGCAATAAACTTTATATTGTAAATATGTTAACTATTAATGGATCGGTTGGTTTCTGCCATAAAGTAATCACCCAAACTAATATTTGGCTACTAAATTCCCATCTACCTGCTCAATGTTATGTCTAAGGTCGATCAAGCAAGTGAATGGCTTCTCAGCCTCTTGCTTAAAAGAGGCATAATAAAGCACTACATTAGCTGCATGCTCGGTTATAAAAGATCAGCTGCAACGGCAGCTTCTGCAGGAATTATGTTGAACTGCGATCAAGTCCCACCCCAGGGAAGGGGTAGTGTTAGAGCAATCCAACAGGACAGACGTCCAGATATGATCAGTCAGATCTTTCCCATGCACATTAAAACCCAAGAATTGTAGTTGCACTAGGTCTGTAAGGATGACACTGACACATAGCGTTCCATAGCAACAACCATGGGCAACCCCTTGCCTAATGCAAAGTTGACCGGATGTCCGTGAACGATGAATATGTATATGACCAATTTATTTAAAGATCCGATCTTAATATGCATCAGCACATTAGCAAGGTAAAACGTGAGGAATTACCAATTAAAACAATAAAAAAAAAGATCCGTAATTTTTCAAAAATCAACTTCCCCGGTTGAGGAATGTAGTGAACAATAACGGTTGGGGAACATCCTAATGGAACAACTAAAGTTGTAAAAATACCCATGAGCACTGCAAGATCAACCCTATAACTATTTCATCTACCACATGCTTTTTTATGTTTAAGTTCATCAAACCCTATGTCATGGCGCTACTTCAGCTTTTTTAAAGCAGCAAACAACATGCTCCAAAGCACCACCAAGGAGGAACTAAGTTGGAGTTGGTCTTTGAACTAATTATCAGAGCTATGATGCATATGGAACTTACTCTATCTTACAATCACCCAAGAGAAGACCTTGTGTGTACAAAGCATGATAAAGCAAGACTTAATTAATCTCCTGACACAAGAGGTTATCGATTCTGCATACTTGTGTTGTTTAATGCAAACTAGTGTTAGGTTATTATGACGTGAAAGGTTTATGTTCCTCACATGGATCTGTTATCCTTCTCGCAAAATCATGAGTAGCTCTGGGGTTCAATTCCTTACAATGAGTGGACAACATCACTTGATAAGACACAGATACACAGAGCTGAAATATGATGCAACCGAACGCGACTACCTTGGAACCGGTACTCTTTTGCATGTTTTGACCCATTCTCAATGTTTAAAAAATTATCATCACATTAAAATATTTTTTTTGTAATTAAATGAAATGACACGAAGAACCGACATAAAAGGCGATAACATGACATGAGCTGGTGGTAGGGTGTTCGGTGTTCTTACAACTTAGAAAAATCATCCAATCAATCATTAACTTATTGTACAGATGTCAATCAAGTCCTAAACTTTCCATTTTTTTTCCAATTTAATCATAAACATTTGCGCAAAATTCAAATGTAGTCATTCCGGTACTACATTCAAATTTCGAAAAAAGGGTGAGGACTAAATTGACAAAAAAAAGTTTAGAACTGAATTGGTATCCGTACAATATATTTAGGATAAAGTAGGCAATTTTCTCTATAAAACTTCTGCCGATTCTTATAGTCAGTAAGTGATGTTAAAAATCCAAAGTTAAACCAGTTATATCCCCGACCAAAAAAAAAAAACCAGTTATATCGCTTCCATCCATTCAAAAGCATAAAACTAGTCCAATATGAATTCATTTATCCTTGTACTAAGCAAAAGAGAACAAAAGACTGGGTCAATGTGATTGTCCTACACCTACACGCCCAAACACCCCTCTCCAATACCAGTCGGGCAGTACCACCACGTCGGATGCTTGATGCTAGAACTTATTCTATGATAAGGTATTTAATGAAAGTTATATATATCTTGGGGAGGGTTGAACAACACTAAAGATAGTAGAAGTTACATCTTTTATCAATGGTTTAGCATGAAGAAATTCATTGAGGCCGTAAGACAGATGAAAATGGAGAAGCAGTCAGATATGACCATATGTCGAGAAAAAAGCGGAAGTTGTTGGCATTTCAAAGCAATAGGCCTATCTTCTTCCTAAAGTCATCTGACTGAAACCTTGAAAATTAAGAAAACTTTATATGAGTGGATCAATGAAATAGAAAAAAGACAGTAATTAAGGCCATTAAAAAGATGAATGGAAAAGCAGACAATTTTATGACCCTATGTCAATAGAAGAGCAAAATGTTTTGGCTTTTAAAAGAGATAGGGATATTCCCATCGAAAAGTTTTATGAATAAGATCAAGAGAGTAGAGAAGATGGGAAACATTGCACAATCAGTCCTAAATTTATTTAACGAAAACCAATCGATTCTTATGCATTTGATTGAACCAATTTAGTTTTAAATATTTGAGTGACAGTACAATCAAGTTCTCTTGGCTGAACTTATTGTACAATCAAGGAACCACTAAACTAAATGTTAATGCAGCCATTGCTATGGTTCTTCTGGCCAAATTGTGTTGGTGGGTATTGCCGTTGTAACTCGAGATGCTAATGGGGAACTAGATGCCTTGGGCAAAGTGTTTCTGCGGGCTCGATCATTCCAGCTGAGGGCAAGACTGGAATTGGGATTTCTCGAGGGAATTAGGTTCGAGCATGACGGATCGATTTGGCGATTTAAGGGCTGATTTCGGGCTATTATGCAAGACCAAGAAATGACACCATTTATCTAAGCAAAAATGGCGTCCTTTGGTTGAAAATCAGACCATGTCACGCCATTGCCGCTACTTGTAGGACAGCTAGCGATGAATGGAATACAACAATTAGATAAATCAGGCAAAACTTCGTTGAGAGGACTTGATTGCACTTTCTATCAAGGGTCTAGCACTACATTAGTTCAATTAAAAGGTTTAGGACTTGATTGGTTTCCATACAATAAGTTTATAACTAATGGTGAAAATTTCCTTAGAAAATGTTATAGGGGATGTTAAGAATTTTGTGACCTATAGGGAGATCGAATCATCATGTCACAAAATGAAGTTAAGACATGAAGCAGTCATTGAGCACATGTTCAAGCAAGAAGCATGAATGAATTTAGTTTGCTATGGAGAAAGATCAATATGGTTAAAAGGTGGAGGATATTTTCAAGAAGCTAAGAGGACATAAGGATTTGTCCACAGTTTTGCATAGATATGGATTGAGCATATGCGTCACCCTAGATGTCATCAAAGGGTTTTTAAGAAGAGAGATATATATGTTGTAGTGTGCATAAAAACGACTATGATCATGTATGACTGAAGTTGTGACTTCCTAAAGAGACTTGATTTCCTAGAATCAGAAAGAAGATATCAAGGTTGTGCTTTAATATGCAGGATAGGTAACTATTGCTTCTATCAATCATGTCTTTGGAATTTTTTTGTTTCTTCCTTATATAAAAGTTATGTTTCGATGTGTATGATAGATAATTCTTGCTTTTATCAAGTGTGTTCTCAGAAATAGCAATTGTTTGCAGCTTGTTATTGTCATTTCTTGGCAATATGGAATCATTTATGTTTCATGTTTCAATAAATAGTCATTTTTGAAGCGTACCTTAAAATCTAAGTACCTCTACCATCTTAAACATTACAGATCAATCTAAATCAGATGAGGATTTAATTCTGGCGATTACATGTCAACATCTACAAAATATTCCAACATATAATTTAAAATTACAGATGCCTCTCACTAACAAAGTGTGTCAAGTACACCCTTAAAAAACAAGTTAAATTAAATGATATTAATAAGAACATAGCTGGTGATCGTTTCTAAAAGGAAAACGATTTATGTCAATTATAGAAAAGTTTAACATTGTTTTAGTACATTGTCTTGCAAGTAAAAAAGATTTATCCCGGTAATAGGAATCGTGAATAAAAATTATACTTGGAAGTTTCGTTTTGTGTTAGATATATAAGTAAAGATTCAAGATGGTTGAAAAACATATTACTGGAAGAAAAATAATATGATTTTAAATGATTATTATCTCTTTGGTAATGTGAAATATTGCTGTATTGGACAATTTATTTATGCTTCTGAATCAAATCTCTATCTTTTATTGAAGGCATGCCATCATTCATACTCAAAGTAAGGAAGTCGATCAAAATATGAACCTTTTATACATACTCAAATCAGTCTTTGTAAATTTATTCCAAGAAGAAAGATCAAAACATCATGGTTACCTATTACCTCCATAGTGCAGTAAAACAATCAGTGAACTTATTTATCGTGTTCGACCAAAAAAAAAACTTATTTATCGTGGGTGATGATACTAAAGAAAACTTTCTCTTACTAAAACTACTTACCATATACACAATTGATGCAATCTAAGGCAAATCATGTGAAGGGAAATGACACAGATTACTTTGGTCTTTTGAAGGGATACCGAAGGAAGACAGTCTGTTTATGCCAGTTGCACTGAAGTGGTCCTTTCATTTTTCTTCTCGTGAAATAAATTAATTAATTAAAATACATGAAAGCAGGCAATGACCATTGGCACCATGTTTGCCTGCCAAGCTCTTCTAAAAAATTTCTCGATCAAAGAAGCAATACAACAAAAGACAGGAAGATGTAAAAATGCAAAAATAGAATGAATGTCATCAAATATATGCGGGTGAAAGCAGGAAACGCAAAATCAACTGAATTTGCACAATGCAATGACATTGCTACCGATAATTAATCTGAAAGTCCAACTGTTAACGCCAATTCATCAGCCGAACTATACTAGGGGAAAAGAAAGGCAGCTAAAGAAAAGCTAAGAAAAAAAGATATGAGAGCCAAAACAAGAAAAGAAAGTGTGTATACTAAAATTAAGACTCTCTTAGTGACCAAGAATAGAGAGAAAGAGAGAGAGAGAGAGAGAGAGAAGTGATGATATCTAACCTAATGCTTGATTGCACTTTATCTCAAAGGTTTAGCACCACATTAGCTTAATAGGTATAGGATTGGTTGTGTAATTTTCCCCAGAAATGTTATCAGGGATGTTAAGAATTCCATTATCGATAAGGAGTCCATTAAGCAAGAAGCATGAATGAATTTAGTTTTCTACGAGAAAGATCAATATGGTAAAAAGGTGAAGGATGTTTTCGGGAAGGTAAGAGGATCAAAATAAGGATTTGGCCGCAGTTTTGCATAGATATGGACTGAGTATATGTGTCACCCTAGATGTTATCAAAGGGTTTTTTAGAAGAGAGATGTATATGTTGCAGTGTACATATAAACTACTATGATCACGTATGACCGAAGTTGTGACTTCCAAAAGTGACTTCATTTCCTAGCAGCAGCAAGAAGATATCAAGGTTGTGCTTTAATATGCAAGATAGGTAACTATTGCTTCTATTAATCATATCTTTGGAATTCGAACATTTTTTCCTTATATCAAGGTTGCGTTCCGACATGTATGATAGATAATTCTTGCTTCTATCAAGTGTGTTCTCAGAAATAGCAATTGTTTGTAGCTTGTTATGGTCATTTCTTGGCAATATGGAATCATTTGTGCTTCATGTTCAATAAATAGTCATCCCGCGTACTTTAAATTCAAAGTACCTCTGACATCTTAAACATTACAGGTCAATCTAAATCTGATGAGGATTTAGTACTGGTAATTACATGTCAACATCAGCAAAATATTCCAACATATGATCTAGAATTAGAGAAGGGTCTCACTAACAAAGTATGTTAAGTACACCCTTAGGAAACAAGCTAAAGTAAATGATTATTATAAGAACACATATGGTGATTGTTTCCGAAAGGAAAAAGATTGATGTCAAATAAAAAAGGGTTTAGTATACTGTCTTGCAAGTAACGAAGATTTATTCTAGTAACAGGAATCACGAATAAAAGTTATGCCTGAAAGTTTCGTTCTCTGCTAGATATATAAATAAATATCTAAGATAGTTCGAAAGCATATCATAGGAAGAGCAATAATATGATTGAGATGATTATTTTCTCTTCAGTAATGTGATATTTTGCTGTGTTGGACCCATTTATATATGCTCCTGGACCAAATCTCTATGGTTGGTTCAGTTGAAGGCATGCAATCATTCATACTCAAAGTAAGGAAGCCGATCAAGAAGTGAACCTATAGTCAAAATTAATCTTTGTATATGTATTCCAAGAAGAGAGATCAAAACACCGTGCTCTCCTTTTAACTCCGTAGTGCACTAAAACAAATAGTGAACTAAGGGATTAATCGTGGGTGGCGATAATAAAAGAAAACTTTTCCTTACTAAAACCGCTCACCATGTACACATCTGATGCAATCCAAGGCAAATCATGCAAAGCGAAGCGACAGATTACTTTGGTTTTAGCCATGAATGACATGTCTTTTGAAGGGATACTGAGGGAAGACAGTCTTTTTATTCGAATTGCACCGAAGTGGTCCATTCATTTTTCTTCTCGTCAAAAATAAAAATATATATAAAAATACATGAAAGCAGGCAATGATCATTGGCACCATGTTTGCCAGCCAAGCCCTTCTAAAAGATCTCTCGAGCAAAGAAGCAATACAACAAAAGACAGGTAGATGTAAAAATGAAAAACTAGAATGAATGTTATCAGGCATATGCGGGTGAAAGCAGGAAACGCAAAATCAACTGAATTTGCAAAATGCAATATCGCTGCTGATAATTAATCTGAAAAGTCCAACTATTAACTCCAATTTATCAGCTGAACTATACTAGGGGAAAAGAAAGGCAGCTAAAGAAAAGCTAAGAAAGCAAAGATATGAGTGAGTGCCAAAACAAGAACAGAAAGAGTGTATAACAAAATTAAGACTCTCTTAGGGGCTGATTGATAACCGGCCAAACAGTACCCGTTTCTATTCTTTTTTCCCGAGAACAAAAATCCGTTTGGTAAATTTTTTGTTTCCAGGCACAAATTTGTTCTTAAAATCAGTCTTGGAATAGAATTCTTGATTCTGGGAACAAGAATCAGAAATGGAAAAGAAATTTTTTTTTCTTCTTCTTCATTTTTCCTAGCCTGTAACTGGTCGCCGGTGTGCTAGGGCCGGTCGCTGGCCACCGGTCACAAGCCCAGGCTGACGACGGCGAGGGCTAGACCCTCACGGCCTGGGCGAGGGCCACCCTCACCGGATTTGGGGAGAGCCGCCCTCACCCAAGCCGCGATCTGGCGAGGGCAGTAGCAAGGGTCCAGCCCTCGCCCTCACCCACGCCCTCACCTGTGGTCAATCGCCGACGTCGGCAACGGCGACCTGGCCATGGGCCAAGGAAGAAGAAGAAGAAAAAAATAAAAGGAAAAAAAAGGAAAAAAGAAAAAAGAAAAATTCAAAAATTCAAAATATTATTAATAAAAAGAAATTTTATGTAGTTACCAAACGTATTTCTGTTCTTTTTCTATTCCAAGAATAGAAATTTTGGGCAATTACGAAATGCCTTCAAATACTTAGAAATTATTTCCAGAAATGAAATAAAAAAATCATTTTTGAGCAGAAATTGTTTTCCAGAAACATAATGGTTACCAAACGCACCCTTAGTGAGTAGGATGAGAGAGAGAGAGAGAGAGAGAGAGAGAGAGAGAGAGAGAGAGAGAGAGAGAGAGAGAGGGGTAATGATATCTAACCTAGTGCTTGCATATTCATAGAGCTTGCCAGTACTGGAGAAAATGATGAGCCCAACCTCAGCGTCACACAAAATTGAGAGCTCTCTCGCTTTCTTGAGCAGTCCCGTTCTCCGCTTCGAGAATGTTACTTGACGATTTGCTGTATTGTCGATCCTCTTTATCACAATCTTCCCTCTCCCCATCTTGATTACCACCACCCACCTCTCTAATCTGCGCAATACCAGCTCTAGAGTTTCCTTATCACTCCAATTATCCGTCAAATCGACAATGAGTAGAGTAAAAAAGTAAAAGAAAGAAGCTCTCCGTCACCTATACCCTCTAGATATCAAGAAAACATACGGGGAAAGAAACCACTACAATAGTGAAGAAGCGAACAAGGAAGTATATTCAAGATTGAAAGATACAGTTGATTCTTAAAAAACGAGCGTCACGACACGAAAGAATTCGAAGTAACAACAAAAACAAGCTAAAGGAAGCTTACTCATTTGGAGGTAAACGCTGGACAGTATCAGCGACGGCAAATGCAGCTTTTTCTGAATAAACTTGGGGGGGATTTATAAGTAAATGAAGTGTAGAGAGAGAGAGAGAGAGATAGAGATAGAGATAGAGAGAGAATTTTCAATTCCGGGTTAAGAAAAACCGCTAATTTGCAAGAAACATGGAGCGGCTATGTGCTTATAAAACAGCCAAGTGGGTCTTAGCGTGGAGATCAGGTTTACAGCAGAAGACCCACGCTCGCGAGTGTCGGAACTCTCCAGTACTCGCTCTGTCGAGGCAGTAACAAGTCTAGTCTACCGAGACAGGTTCAGGGCGTTGTCCCAGCCCGGACAGTGAGATCTCTGTCCACAAATTCCAGCCGCTGGGTGGCGAGTACCGACGACCGATACTCGAGCGAGTGGGAAGAAAGACGGAGCGCCCCGGCTTCCTGTGGACCTGGAAATAGGAAATTCTGGTGACGTGTCGATGGTTACCAGCATCTTTCTTAGGCAGAACTAATAGATCGCTGACACGTCATACTCAGGAGAACCAAAGGCTCCTCAATATTCCTTCCTTTCGTTTTTTGTTTGGTGCCTCGCCCTACCTTCTCTTCTTACGACATCGCCGGGATTTGGCGAACGCATGTCACCAATCACACCACTTACAAAATCAAATTCTTAACATATTTTATGAACTTTGGATTGAGATGCCACCCATAATTTCTTCTCCTTTCGGAATAGTTAAGTAAAACTTTTTCATCGGGGTGAACCGAACATGGCAATTACATTTGCCGTTTCCTTGTGAATTACGTTGCGGTATACTTTTTTCCAACAAGGGTTTGGCGGTTTAAAACCCATTGCCATACCAATCGCCCAAGCTGGTCGTTAAAAGGCTTAGTCATAACCTTGGATTCTCGTAAAGGCAATACTTTCCATGGCCATGTTAGTCTAGCATAGTAACAACGCAATTACAAGGTGATAGGTAGACCATCGTGACCAAATGGGAATCAATCGAATACGCGAATACTCCAACAGGCTCGGACAGCCAATCTTATCTTTAGGGATAAAGAAAATGAGTGGCAATAGTTTGCTAGTAGTTATTAAGAACAATAAAGGTTATCCATTTTCCCAAATATTAGGCTAACAATGTTATTGATCACAAGGTCAGCCCTTCGGAAAGTATTTTATGTATAGCTTAGTATCATGAAGGTCCTGAGTTCAAATCTTTTCAGATCCTATTTGCCTCCCTAATTAAATATGTCCACGCTTAGTATTAGGCAAAAAACCAGACTAAGCGTGAGGGAGAGTGTTAGAATAACGCATTCATTTAATAGCTTAAACTTTTAGAACAATTAACAATGGTTTCGCAAAATTTCACAGTTAGAAACATTGCCCAAGTAATATGCATCGAAATCGAATTTGCGTTTAAAACCCTCTCCTACATTGACTTGTTCATATGTCACTAAAACAAATGATGTATTCGATGTACGAAATACTTAATCCTCAACTTTGAACGTCAAATGAAGAGTTTCTAGATTATTAATGCAACTGCTAAAAAATCCACTGAAAAAAAAAAAGAAAGAAAAACAAGACTAAGTCCCGAAAGTAGGGCGTGCTTTAACAAGTGAAGTTTTCCCACAAAGAGGCAATTAAATAACTCCAAGAGGCATCCCTCTTGATATTGAAGAATAATAAAACCCGACCAAAGTCGACGATGATCACAATAGAAATTGACTGTTGCCTTAGGGACCTTTATCTCACTATTACAAAGTTTTGACTAAATCAAGAAGATAGGTTAAGATAGCTACATGCTCTGGATTTTAGCGAGTACAAGGGGGGGATAAAGAAGAAAGTATAATGCAACTAAAAAACCCTAGTTTTCCGCCACTTGTTGCTTTCCTATTGCTGGTTAGTTTGGTTGGAGGTTGCAACTGTCAACCATCAAGTCCGGCCAAAGTGAAATTAAGAAAAAGTATCAATCTTTGTTACCACTTAATAATGTGAACCTCAACACTAGCTAAAACTAGAATAAAGATACGATATCAATTCCCTGGACTACTGGGAAAGTCCATATGTTGGGTCATATGATTTACTTGGCCAATTAGGGAAAGTCCCGGATCGAAACATTGCAAGCAAGATTCCAACTTAACCATCCACGCTTGTATGCGGATCAAAGGAATAAAGATCTTGACTATGTGAAAACAGAATCAACTAGCTATTGAAAGGAAAGGAAGAATATAAAGAAAAACAATTAGATAAAAGTGGTCCAGCGCTGAAAATCACTTGATTCAACGTTTGGTTGGATTTTGGCGCCATATATAATCTTAATTACCTTTTTTTCATAATTTATGTATAATTTCTGCAATTTCTCTGACAATGGTTACCTAGAAAGCAAATTCAACTCTGAAACCCGGAGTAGATTAAAAGTATGATGCACCTGAAGTGCAAAAGTTATCATAAAATTTGCTATTTTTACGTAATGCCTTACGCACTTCGTCCCGCAACTTATCACAATAAGGGAATATTTGGACAGTAAACTAGGACAATGTGAGTGATCTCAACTTTCTTGCATTGACTATGTTCATCACTCTACTTTATTTAGTACAATCGTACCTCTCACACTCCACAAATCTTTATTCTATTTGGGAATTGTCGTCGAAAATAAGTTGTAATTGGTGGTAACCCATGTGAACAAGATTCTGCAGATTAGTAGAGAGATACGATATTCATTCTACGAAAAGATTATACAATTTAATATGCAAAACCTAGGACTTTGGGACCATACAAAAAGAGCCTTCCTGAGATTTGTGAATATTTATTAGCTTGCAAGAACCTTGGACCCAAGTGCTAACTGGCCAAGTGTCAATCATAAAGAAATCATGCAACTTCATGGACCAAGCAAAGGTACAAAAGCGACATGCTTTGATTGTATAATTTATTGGAGGATCATTATCCCAACAATAGCTACACATACATTCAATTCTTTTCCAAGTCATGCCATCAATATCAAACCTTGGCAGTTTCGATCCACAATAAGCAGCGGGACCTGACCCTTGAATAAAATACTTCTCGGGTATGTGATTCTCGTTGGACTTTTATTTGGTATACTGACGATGTAAAAAAATTCGGCAAGTATGGGGAAGATATAAAATACAGTTTTTAATTTTGGTTAATTACTTCTTTTCATCTATATCGGTTGTGCATTTACTGAAAGTGCTTCTTTTTTGAAGTTCTGTTTGAATCTTTAATTGAGGTACAGAGAAAGCATCATGGATGTTCTATACAATTTGTTGACTTGTCTTTGTTGACCTTTACTAGATTGGTCAAATTTACAACCTTGAATGTATCAATCCTTGGCAACGTACAAGATCTAGGCAAGAATGACCCGCTGTCTAGCTAGGAGGGCCTATAATTAATTCCTAGTTTGACTGATAGTGATCTGAAAAAAGGCAAATCACACACTTTCTTGCAAATACGTCCTTGTTGGATTGACCTAAGATACAATGTCTTCCATTTTTACTAACTTTAGTGCCGAATTAGGTATGACCTTTTAAGTCTAAGTCTAACAGCAAGGATGGTCTACTTTTTACTACATACAAGGAGTTTATGAACTTGATAAACTCAAGTTGACATAGGAAAAGATACTAAAACCAGTAGAAAAGAACTTTATCTCGAGACCTCTCGTTCTTTGTTACACTTGTGATTAGTATGTAGAGAGATTACGCGGTTTGTAAACAATATAAAGACTTATAAACTCTACAGAATATAAGCTACATCAAAGATGGCATACTCGCCACTAGTTTTAAGTCTCTTTGCTTTCTCCATTTTCGAAAACCAAGGAACTTCTAAACAAGAACCTGAAAGGTGTTGTATTCCTCTTATGGAAGCAGCTCTCTCTATTTGACCCCCACATCTAAAAAGATGTATATGGCATTGATCAATAGGTTTGCTTTTCACACTCAGAGATTCTCATCCTGAATTTACATCATTTGAGTTCGAAGTTTCAAAAGTTATAATAGCAAGTGGGTTCGACGTCAGTAAGTACGAGGATTATTCATGAGGACAGATTGAAAATCATATTTTGAAGAACAATTGGCAAGCTGTAAAGGGTCTTTCTTGAGTGATGTTTCCCATTATAAATCTTTCCCCTCGTTAATCTCGGCAGCTTTCATCACGCCGAGCCGTACTCATTTCTGCATTTCTAAAACTGAGGCTCTCTCTCTCTCTCTCTCTCTCTCTCTCTCTCTCTCTCTCTCTCTCTCTCTCTCTCTCTCTCTCTCTCTCTCTCTCTCTCTCTCTCTCTCTCTCTCTCTCTCATGAGTCAAGCTAATGCTTTTTATTCCTAAGTAAGAAACTTTGTACTTTGTGACCACTCAAAACTCTTTCACCTTTTGCGAAAATTCCTAATGAAGCATGAATATATAGTTGCAAGTGAAACCCCACCTTTTCTTCCCCTCTCAAATCTCATAATTCGCGCCTCTCTCCCCTGGACAAATCTCTATAATCGGTCTCGATATTATAAATTTATGAGCACATCGTACGACTCTCACGGGCTTAGACAACGCGAAATACGCGCTTTACAGATAAAGATCAAACCTGCTGAATACTCGGGCCCTTTCAAATAATAAATTACTCATCAGTGGAGCTTCATCATTTCACGATCTGACGGACACGAGAGAGAAACTAAATAAAATAATTAAAAAATTGTCATTAGGAAGGAGTGGTGCACCAAAAAAATCTTTGGAGTGACTTTCATGCTCAAGTGGGCTTTGAGAATTAGGTTATTTATCTCCTCTTGTTCATTAGTCTCTAAGGATAGGTAGATGTTAGTTGTTCCACTGTTACATCTCTATAATTTTTTTCCCCCAATGAGCTGTTGCCATACCTGAAGCTCAGCTTTCTGGGATCCTTTTGTGAGAGAACTCTGCAACATCTTTTCTTTGTTCCTAAAGAAAGGCCATAAAAAAGTTCAAAGTTCAAGAGACCGGTGTCGGCCTGCCTGCACCAGATAACCCCATACTGCTCTGATAAACTTGTACTCGTCAATGGCAATACATGAGCAGCGTGCTTTGTGAGTCGTTCAAGAAGAGGAAACCGGTTTGGTTTAATGATGTTTTATCGTATCTCCATCTTTCCAATCCGAGGCATATTCGGCCTGCGCAGTTCTCCATTGGGCTTGTGTATTTTATGGGATCACTCCTATTTCGAGGTGGATCTTCTCACATGTCTTTACAGAGAGCATGTAGTAATAGTTTGATTTTCCTTTTTGTCTTGTTCCTCTAACAGGATCTCTATGCTCATGTGAGTCGTCGTCCAGAGATTAGACCTTCTCAGTTTTAGGTGGGCTATGTAAGATCATCTCTTCTTCAGCCCATAATTCACTGCAGAGGATAAGCCGACGAAAATGATTTGTTGCCCAAACAAGATTTGACTGGGAGACCTAAGATCAAGGCCGAATATAAGCCCCATTCGTTCCCTTTCGGTACAATTGCACCGGAGTTCCTAGTTAAATTCGACCGATGAAATTTTTACGGAAAAATTATTTAAAAAGTCTTAAATTTATTGTATTTATATCAATTCAGTTCTAAAACTTTTTTTTTTGTCATAAACCTTTCAATTATGCTAATTTAGTCATAAAAATTTTTACGTTTTGCAAATTGAATCAATCTATTTTTTTTGTCCTAAATTGTGTCAATTTAGTCAGAACGACAGTGTAGGTCGCGCGTCGTTAGTCGAGCTAATCCAACTCTATGACAACCAAGGCAACCACACCAGCTTCACCACCCATTTCTCCTTTGTCATTGACTCGCTCAACCGGACCAAGTATGCCGATGGCCTGACATTTTTCCTTGTGCCCAACGGCTTTTCCCTTGCGCCCAATGTCACCAATCGTCGTCTACCCAAGCTTCTCGCGGGCAGCAATCTCGGGTTGATAAGCAGTGAAGAGCAATTAAGCCAAAGTGTGGGTTCTTTCGTCGCGGTGGAATTCGATACCTTCTCGAGCGTTTGG